ATCCATCTCCTGGTCATCCCAAATAATGTTATCCTCCCAACGTCCATACACCAACTCCTCGTTGTCAATGGGGAAAATGGAGAACCAGGGAGAGTCTTCTTCATGAGAGGCTGCAGAGGAACAAAAATGAAGACAACACGGAAAATGAGTCGTTAGCTTGAGACTTAAAAAAGGTCTGGTGAATCTATTATTTGTACTGAGACCAAAAACTAAACTCACTTTGATTATCATGGCTGTTTTTTTCCCGCTTAGAGCCAGAGATTGAAGAAGCTTTGGGCATGGGTGGAGGCGTAGGTGGCACCAACTGGGAATTACTTCTTGTCAGGCCTATAAGATTAAACATATATTCCTTTTTACACACATGAAATGTTACAGCATGCAGGTACAGTATCACACAAAGACCTATTACAAGGTTTTTCTTGCATCGTACCCTGTTGTGCATTATAAGCATTTGCATTGCGTGTCATGCTGGAGGGCAGCCATCCCGCCAGGCTGGCTCGCTGAGTCTTGGTGCCCTTGTGTTTTACTTCCTCCCCATTCCAGATGATATCGTCCTCCCATTGCAGTTGAGTGACCATCAGGAAGAGCTCATTCTCAAGGACTTGTCTGTCCTTATCTCCATCTTCATTATCAATATCTTCGTCGTCGTTGTCTTGCCTCAGGAACTAGAGATATATTAAACACAATATCAGTAACACAATCAGTATTAATTCCATGTTATGGCTACGGATTGTCTGCATACCTCGTGTGCAGTGTCTGTTATTTCTTTAGGCGCATCCTGCTTCTCCGGCTCACTGGACTGATCTTCTTTTAACTTGAATCCGTAGTTGAAGTTACTTCCGTCCTCGGAGACGCCTAGCATATCGTACCAGAGCTGGGCTGGACCATATCTCCATTCTGCTACCTTAGGTCGAGACTCTGCCTCCTTGTCTCCATCACCACAAGTTTGTGAGAACTTAGATTCTACTGGAGCCATCATGGTTATCTGGACGGCACAGAAAAGCATGTGAAGAGGTGGATACAATGACATATCGGCAGACCACTACCAGCTGGTATTATGGAAGCCTACCATAGGCCGTAGCAATGAAAGATTTACCTCATCATCAGAGAGACACTGCTCTGGGGGTGGAGGGAGTGCGTACTCGTAAACCCATCCGGACTTCTTCTCCTGGCTTTGCTCTGTGGGCTCTCCTTCTGGAGGAGGTGTCCCAGGCTGAGGGTCTCTGTGCTTCCGCTTCTTCTTCCTGCGGGCACTCCTCCAAACTGATGGCATGTTCTTTCCAGGACCAAACAGCCGCAAGAACCTAAGCACCTGATAGGACATCCAACACAGTGGGCGTCAGTGAACCCCTTTGTCTTAAAATGATAATATGTGTAATAATAAATTTCAGCCATGGGCAGTGCCTGTTAAGATGCTTTACCCTTCCAGGCCTAAACTCTGGGAAGAGCTCTGTGACACCAGGCAGTGCTTTAGCAGCATCTTTCTGCATAATGCCAGCGAGAGGGAGGGTGAGGCTGTCAGGGGGGCCTCCAGACCCCAAGCCCTGACAGGGACGATCTGTTTCTGACTCAGAGTCCGACGAGCTGCTGAAGTCTACTTTATCAGCCGTAGAGGATGGCGCGATGATGGAGGGAAGGATGATACCATCGCCCTCTTCTCCAGCTGTGGGGAAAGACAGTGACCAATCACAGCAGCATTAGAGACAATTATACATCATCTTCAGATATTTGTGACCTAAAATACTTAAAGCTTAATTACTATTGAGTTTGTTTTATGATCAAATAAAGAGGAAAATCTAAACCTGTGACAATAACGTCCAGGCTGAGGCAAATTAACTTCCTTACAGACTCCAGTATAGCAGTTCTGTAAACAGCTTAAAGCTCTGTGGAAGAGGCCGAGTCAAACACAATTTCTCAACAGGGACTAATTATGAGTAAACATATCCTCACCTGTTGTACTCTGAGGGGAGGGTTCCTCTTTCTTAGCAGATGTAGGAAGAGTTGGTGGTGGCGGAGGAGGCATGAGCTTAGAATCAATATCCTCGCAGTCTGCATCATAGTCATCCTCATCATCTAAGATTAAGGAATTAGAAAAATGTGTTTACATTAAATATATAATATACCTAAACTGAAGGTCCAACAACATTTTGGGATCCTTGGTAGGGGCAAAGGAAAATGGTGGTAAAAAGATACCATACAATGGGAAAAAACAAAAGAAAATAGGAGTTACTTTGCTTACAGTTTTTTTATATAATTAAACATATCTTTATAGAAATGAGGTCAGTTTTATGTATCTTAAGAAAACAATATGTTCAAACAAAAAAAGGGTAATTCTTAATTGAGTATAATAACAATCAAACACAAATATGACTAAGGAGCAGTAAGGTGATCACCTGTTTTCCTGCTGGGCTGCAAAGACCCCATGGCCTGACGGTACTTCTTCGTCTCATCCTCAGCAACCTCACTGATGTCGGAATAATCAACTGCATCTTCAGTGCTTTTCACCCAACCTGGATGAGGAGGAGAGATATTGAAAATGTCACCCCATCCTGCTCCTGGCTTAATTAACGCAAAGTTTCCTTTTGTTTTAAAATGTATTTGACCTAACCTTCTGCGTCCACACTAGCAGAGTCTCTGCCTTCATCTTGATCTTCGTCCTCATTGGCAGTGATCTCTGTAATGAGTGAGCCCAGACCCAGTGTACCCAGACCAGCCAAATGCTTTTTGGACTCCTGTGGTGGGAAGCAAAGCAGAAACAGAACAGCAAGTTGAAATAAGTGTTGCAAATACAAACAGTTAATAGGAACAGTTAATAGTACATAATAATGACTCTTAAATGCTGCTGTGAAAAGGTAAAACACCCACATTGTCCAGCACACTGTCATCCTCCAGCTGTCCATCTTCGTTGATGTTTCCAAAGAGGAAGCCAGTAATAGAGAAAGGGCGATCTTGGTCCTCGTCACTGTCGGAGTCCGACATCCTGAGTAAATAACATTTACAGTTCAGACATTTGGCTCATCTTCTTCTCCTCCTGAGTAATGCGACACATCACTGAGATCTCTGAACGATCCCACTCATAACGTTATTACCTGTCACAACACTGAAGCGGTACTTTTGTTTCACTGACGTTGCAGCCAGATCAGATTCCGGTAACCAAAATTCATTCTTGTGTCGTTTTCCTCAAATATAACAATCTGATAGAGCAACAAACTCCGTAACTGTCCACACTGTCACAGACAAACGTAAGTTAATAATGTCATCAGCGCCGCAATGTAGTGCAGCGTTAGCCACTTCGCTAACATTAGCTAGCTCGTTAGCTCTGCATTGAAAACGAAATATCAGAAAAATCATAGATGCAACTTACACTTACCTCTGGGACCTGACTTCAACTTCTGTAAGCTCGGGTTTTAGCCAGCTTTAGTTGCCCAGCTCTCTCAATAACATCAGATAGTTGCCCAGCTACCTCATTAGCAGCTCAGTCTGGTAAAGTAGCACAGTGAGCTAACTTAATGTTACCGAGACAAGAGAACTTGTAATGCGTTCACTTCAATCTATGCAAAGGTGTTTTCTATCTGTGCCTGCATCGGCTTTGTGACCTCGAAACAAAAAAACAAAACAAAAGTAATTTAATGCAGTCTTTACACACCCGGGTTCAGCATAAACTTTTGTTTTTATTTGTGTGTGTCGTGCACTGCAGCACCGTCGGCTAAGCTAGTTAGCTAGTTTAGAGCCTGAAAGTGACCCGGATGGAAAGGGTGATGCGTTCAAGGACCCCCTGTAACGTAGTAGACTGTCATGTTCGCCACCCAGAAGCAGAAAACTTCAATATCCAGGCAGTACGTAAGTATGCAGTAGTGCCGCTCCCTTTCTAAAGTACATGACATTTTAATGCATTTAATTTCTCAAGTCTATTGCTGCCGCTAATCTCCCCATACAATCTTCTATTTATAACGTTTATAAAGTTTTAATTTCTTAATATCCACTGGCCTCGCTCAGGCTCAATGTCCCGTGAATTATACATTGTTTATGTCACTTGACACATTATGTTTCTTATGCTGGACCTCAGCACCTTTTACCTTTTCTCTCAAGGACAGAGCGTGTCTGTGCTTGTTGCAACATATCTAATCTTAAAATATCTCACAGCACTGATCCTCTTAGAGAGACTTCATTCAGGATGACATTTTAAAAACAAAGTACTCCTAAGGATTGTACTTTTCAGTCTTGTGAAAAGTGGCTATCAACTTGTGAGCACTGGATATGAATTATATTGTAGTTTGGTTAGATTTATTAGATTTTGCTAAATGTAATGCTACTTCTTTAATTAACCTCTCTAGACTGAAGGATATCCGCTGTAGAGACTATATTAACCGATAGTAAGATGAGTGTATTACAAGCCATACACAGTACATCCTTTTTCTAATCCACTCCACAACTTCCGTTAGTCAATAAGCTTAAGTATAAATATCTAAATCTTTCAGAGTGGATTTTTTTTTTTTTAACCAAAGTACACTCTTCAACCTAACATCTTAGCATTCATATGACAGGATGTATTGTAAAAGTACAGTGAGTAGTGTTAATCCTTGAGTGGTGAAAAAGGTTTCTTCTTAACCTTCTACTACAGGTGCATCTCAATAAATTAGAATATAATGACAAAGTTCATTTATTTCAGTACTTCAATTCAAAAAGTGAAACTCATATATCATATAGATTCATTAGACACAGAGTGAAATATTTCAAGTCTTTATTTCTTTTA